AGACTGAGTAGCAGTTCCGGAAGGATAAGGAAGCTGGCTTACTGGTAGTAGACAGCGTGGATAGATTCTTGTGTTGGGTTTGAGGGCTGGTAAGCCTGAGAACTCGATTCAAAGTCTGGTAGGAACGATGACTGAGTGATGAATGAGCACCGGTGCTTCCGTAAATAGGGTCGGCGTGATAACGTCGGCAAGCCACGTTGGTGGCGGGAATGTTGGGAAGTGGTGGCGAGAATACTGGGAAATGTAGTTAACCGGAGGAGTTCCTGACAGGACCCCCCCCCCCCCCCCCCCCCCCCTCCCCGTGAGGGACAGCCCCCGAACTCCCAGGGCGGCGGGCCCAGAAATCAGCCAGTAGGGCAGGGTCGACGAACGAGCGAGCGGGTTCCCAAGAGCGTTCCTCCGGACAGTACCCCTCCCAGTCCACTAGGTACTGCCAACCACATCCTCGGTGGTGAGCGTCCAGAATCTTGCGGACCGTGTAAACATGATCCTCTTCCACACAATGGGGCGGAGGCACCAAGGTCAGAGGAGGGTGGAGAGGAGAGGAAACCACCGGCTTCAGCTGGGAGACATGAAAGACCGGGTGGATCCGGAGAGCAGCCGGAAGGCGCAGTCGGTAAGTGACAGGATTAATGACCCTAAGGACAGGGTACGGGCCCAGGAAGCGAGTGTCAAGCTTCCGGGAGCCAGCCGGCATCCTCAGATTGGCGGAGGAGAGCCACACCTGGTCGCCAGACCGGATGACAGGGCCAGGCCAGTGGCGGCGGTGATGTTGACGGGAATACTCCGTGTTGTTCCAGGTGATGGCCGCACAGGCCCGGATCCAGGCGAGCCGACAGCAGCGGACCAGCGTGTGGGCAGCAGCAACCTCCAACTCAGGCACCTGATGGTCGAACAGAGGGGGCTGGTACCCATAACAGGTCTCGAAGGGAGACAGACTCGTGGCAGAGGAGGTCTGGAGGTTGTGTGACAGCTCCGCCCATAGGAGGAAGCGGGGCCAGGTGGTCGGCTGGGACGAGGCGAAGCAGCGCAAGTAACGTCCAAGCTGCTGGTTGGCCCTCTCTGTCTGACCGTTCGTCTGCGGATGGTACCCAGAAGACAGGCTGGAGGAAGCGCCGACCAGGCGACAGAAAGCCTTCCAGAAGCATGAGACGAATTGAGGTCCCCGGTCGGATACCACGTCCTGGGGGAAACCATGGAGCCACACCACCTCTTCGAGGAGCAGTTCGGCCGTTCTCTTGGCAGTGGGGAGGCCGGCCAGGGCCACTAAGTGCACGGCCTTGGAGAAGCGGTCCGTGATGGTGAGAATGGTGTCCAGGTGGTCGACGGCCGGCAGTCCTGTGACAAAATCCAGCCCGATGTGTGACCACGGCCGCTTGGGCACGGGGAGTGGTTGTAAGTCCCCGGCGCCGGGTTGGTTAGATGACTTGGATCCAGCACACACATCACATGCAGCAGTGAACTCGCAGACATCCTTCCTCATAGAAGGCCACCAGAGAGCCCGACGGAGGAACTGGAGGGTACGGGCTTGGCCTTGATGTCCCGCGAGCCGTGAACAATGCCCCCACGTGAGTGCCTCTCGTCGGCAGGAAGTTGGAACACAGAGGCAGTTTGGGGGAGTCTCTGGGGGTGCCGGATCGCCAGGAAGTGCGGCTCTTATGGATTGTTCCAACGGCCACTGGAGAGAGGCTAGGAAACGTTGAGCCGGCAGAATGGTCAGAGGCTCCGGGGGGCTTGAATCGGGTGCAAAACGCCGAGAGAGGTCGTCCGCCTTGAGGTTCTTGGAGCCGGGCCGGTAGGCGATATGGAAATTGTACGGCTCGAAAAAGAGGGCCCACCGAGCCTGACGAGGATTGAGTTGATGGGCAGTCTGAAGGTGGATGAGATTCTGGTGGTCGGTCCAGATCAGAAAAGGGTCAGTGGTACCCAAGAGCCACTGCCGCCATTCTTCCAGGGCCAATTTTATCGCCAGCAGTTCTCTGTCGCCGACCCCATAGTTCTGCTGTGTGGGGGAGAACTTCCGCGAAAAGTAAGATCATGGGTGGAGCTTAGAGTCCGGGCCTAGTTGTGAGAGGATGGCCCCCGCTCCCATATCAGAGGCGTCCACCTCCATGACGAAGGGTCGGGTCAGGTCCGGGTGGAGGAGGATGGGTTCCTTAACAAAGCGCCCGACCAGATCATGGAAGGCACAGACAGCCTCTGGAGTAAGGCGGAAAGGGCGAGGCTGGTTGGTGGCTTTGGTGAGGGAGGTCAGAGGCGCTGCGAGGGAACTGAAGTTGCGTATAAACCTCCGGTAAAAGTTCGAGAAGCCCAGGAAGCTTTGCAACTGTTTCAGGGTCGTGGGTAGAGGCCACTGAGCTACTGCCTGGACCTTCTGAGTGTCCATCTTCAGGCCCCGGGAGGAGATGGTAAAACCCAGGAAGGAGGTGGACTCCTGGTGAAATGCACACTTCTCCAGTTTGCAGTACAGATTGTGGTTCAGGAGGCGGGACAGAACGACCCGAACATGCCAGATGTGTTCCTCGGCCGTGCGAGAGTAGATGAGGATGTCATCCAGATATACAAAGACCCAGCGGCCCAACATGTCTCTGTAGCAGTTCCGGAAGGATAAGGAAGCTGGCTTACTGGTAGTAGACAGCGTGGATAGATTATTGTGTTGGGTTTGAGGGCTGGTAAGCCTGAGAACTCGATTCAAAGTCTGGTAGGAACGATGACTGAGTGATGAATGAGCACCGGTGCTTCCGTAAATAGGGTCGGCGTGATGACGTTGGCAAGCCACGTTGGTGGCAGGAATGTTGGGAAGTGGTGGCGAGAATGCTGGGAAATGTAGTTAACCGGAGGAGTTCGTGACAGTTTCAGAGGGTGAGGGGGGTGATGTGCAATTGTTAAGTCACTTGACAGCGATTTCTTTGGTATGTTCTTGCTTTGTCTAATTTCTAATTCCATTTTTGGCTCTTTTTTAACCCTCCCACTGTCTTTAAGGGTGACCCCAGGAGCAAAGTTGACCATTGAGCAGGATTGATGGTTTATCCCTTGAGGTCCATGTGGCAGGGGTGAGGTGGTGCTCACTCCTCACCCATCTTACCTGGCCCCAAGGGATAAACCATCAGCCCTGCTCAATGGTCAACTTTCCTCGCGGGGTCACACCCATTAGGACAGTGGGAGGGTTAAAACCTTTTCTGTCTTTTCTGTGTTTTAAAAAAGAACCAAACATGGAATTTGACAGTGATTGTAATAATCTCAGAAGCGTAAATGTGAGTGGTGTGTGTACATAGTAAGGTAAATTCAGCTTTAAAAATTTTCATTCTATGCTAAATCTGCTGATTTTAGAAGCATTGTTGTCAGTATATCGGTATCGGCAAATATTGGTTACTGGCCATAACAGTGATCTTAATATCGGATATCGGTACTGGCCCAAAAATTTCATATCGGTGCATCACTAATGTCATTGATTTAACTTAAAAAAGGTCAAACTAATTCATGAGATAGACTGTTTACATGCAAAGTCAGATATTCCAGCCTTTATTTGTTATAACTGTGATGATTATGGTTTACAGCTGATGAAACCCCCACATTCAAAATCTCAGAAAACTAGAATATTGTGAAAAGAGCTTACACAATTATGCAATGATATACAAGTGTCCCATAATCAGCTAATGAATCCTCAACACCTGCAAAGGTTTGCACCATATTCTAATTTTTTGAGTTTCACCTTTATAACACAACAGCAATGAAAACTAAAAATAAATAGCCTATAATAATAAATGTTATTTTATAGCACTAAAACACTGGAAGATAATCATGAAATATCAGAAATTAAAAAATGATGCCCTGCACATATGAATAAATAAACAAACAAACTAACTAACTAATAAATACTGTTGTTTGTCCCCAACCTGACAGCTTATATTTCCGTAAATACAAAACAAACAAAAAAATAAACATATGAGTGCTAAATTTCTAATATGGACAATTAGTATCTGCATCAGCTGCTGAGTCTGTTATCTCAGTTGTAGTTAAACGGGCACATATCAGATCTATAAATAGCCTACTGTTAGAGCTGGTGCTGATTTCTGCGTGATATCTAGTTGTTGGTTATTATTGTTGTTATAGCAGCTGAACATTTCCGTGGTGCTCAGCTGCAGGATGTTGCGTCTTTAAGAGTTAAGAAACTTGAAACCGTGTTTGCGCAACAATCAGTGCAGCTCCCAGCCGCCAAACTGTCTAGACTGGCACATGATAGCGGGAATCAACCAATGGCTCCAGAGCTTTCCTCTGGGGCCCGGAGAGAGGAGAGAGAGAGAGAGCGGTGCACGCAAAGGGTCAAGTTAGACAGAGCCACACAGGAAGTGCAGTCACAGAGTTTCAAAATAAAAGCATACATTATCTCATCAATTTGTTTGAATTATTTATTTTTTTGTTTGTTTTATACTTTTGACGTTCAGGGCTGACTAACGCAACAACTTTAAACTTCAGTAATTTAGGAGACTTTTGTTCTTTTTACAGGAAGCTCTGCAACAAAAGGCATTTAAAATGCTTCTAAACTACACCAGCATTTAGATGAATAACAACGTTGCCAACGTGAACGTGTGCTTCAGAAATAAATGAACTATTAAAAATTGTGGCTCAATCAAACAAAATTCAATTATTTTTGTTTAAAGAGTGTATTCTCTGTGATTGCTATTCTGCCAGTAACGAGCTTTTTATGTTTTTTTTTCATTACTAAGATAAAGAAAAATAAACAGTTAAAAAACCGGTCACAGTCTATAATTATTTGTCATTTAGACATCATTTCCAACATTCCAGGTTTTTGTTTAGAAAAAATCTTATGCTTTTATTTTGTCTGAGTTGACTCCCGTGTGCGCAACGGCGAGTCTCTCTCTCTCTCTCTCTCTCTCTCTCTCTCTCTCTCTCTCTCTCTCTCTCTCTCTCTCTCTCTCTCTCTCTCTCTCTCTCTCTCTCTCTCTCTCTGCGTGTGCGTGTGTGTGTGTGCGTGTGCGTGTGTGTGTGTGTGTGTGTCCGAAAAAGACTCGCAGGGGAGTGGAGAGCGGAGTAATTCCAACTCTCTAGAAACAACAGCACGGAGTCCGTCCTGGAGTTCGGTACCGGAGCCTCCCGATCATCTCTGGAACGGAACCCTGGCGTTGGATTTGTTTTTTGCAGAACGGGACTTTGGTGTTGTGAGGAGTTATTCCGGGAGGAAGTAGGGGTTCTGATGGGTTTGTCGTTGTGGTCGGTGTAGGCTGCTCCTGAGCTGAAGAATATGAATGCTGAACTTTGTGCGGGATCTCCAGAGTGCTGTGGAGCTGAGGGCTTTATGGAAAGGCTGTGACTGGGTCCCTCTGCGGCGCGACCCGGGTCTGAGTCAGACTCTCTGATGCTGCAAGAGAGACACAAAACGGGGACCACCAGGTGCGCATGTTGCGCCCACCGTGCACAGACTCCTGGTCTTTGGCGACAAGTTTAAATCGATGTGGCATCCTCCCAGAGGCGGACGGGACCGACTGGGCTCATCCAAAACTGTCTAGGTTGTCGTATGTTCAAGTCGAAACGATCAGGACTTGTTCGGCGACTCTGGAGAAGCCGTCTGGTCACCGAGAGCGACGGGCGGTATGGAAGCAGGCGAGGCGATGCAGGAACAAGGGCAGGACGGAGTGGATACTCGGGCACGCTCCGCGAGCAGCAGCCCGTGACACATTGTGACCCGGCCCCAGGACTCTCTGCAAAGGCTGGAGACCTGGCTGAAGGGGTGGAGAGGGAGGAAGAGGAGCAACCCGACGACGAACGGGGTGCCATGTGTGTTCCGGAATACCGGAACCCCGGGGGGGAGCAGGAGGGTGAGAGCAGCACGGTGACGTGTTGCTTGTTTGGGGAATGGGGTCTCAGACCTCGGAGTCCTTACTGGGCCCTGAGAAAAGATGGAGGTGGCCCCTATCGGTGCGCACCGAGGCGCGCGGGGCTGGACGAGGAACTGGCGAGCAGCGCGCACGCTTTTCTAAAGAGACTCAAAGAGAGATCCCTGGACGCCCTGGTGAAGGCTGTGGAAACCAAAGGAGGGATCAGCGGCGAGTGCGTCATGGTGCCGAGGACTGAGTTGAGGATCGAAGCGCATCACGTCTCTCCTCAGTATTTGTTGTGTAGGCTGTTCCGGTGGAGCGACCTGCCACTGTCAACACGACTCAAAGCGCTGTTCCACTGTCAGAGCTTCGGCGCGGCGGACAGCGCGAAGGTGTGCTGCAATCCCCATCACTACAGCCGGCTGTGCGGGCCAGGTAAGGACAGCAGATGAGAATCATTCAGAAAGTACCAGACACGAAGCCAGATCCATGAGGGACTCCTCAAGCCCTGCCTGTGTCTAATTACACCCAAGGACAAAAATATCAGAATAAAAGTTATGGATATTTACTTTAAATTCATTTTCTTGTAGCTGCAGAGAGAGGTGATAACACACACACACACACACACACACACACACACACACACACACACACACACACACACACACACACACAGGACAACTGATTTATTCTGAAAAGTAAATAATTGTAAAATTCCACAAACTTCCCAGTTTTATTTCATAATTTTAAATCGTTTTTCCACCAAAACTGTTACTGCTTCCCACAGTCCGAATGAAGGTCGCTCTCAGGTTGCAACTGGGCTCTTTTCCCTCTGACAAGGAGGTCCTCCGCTTGTTATTTAGGTGAAGGAGTGCCGATAATATACAGTTTGCATAGCGCTGGCGCCAGGCTGACGCACTGGGTATCTGACTGACTGAGAACTCCGGCAATTACTGGCTCTGCTCTTAAAGGGGCCACAGCCACAAAACCCTGTCCACTCTGGACAGGCGGGACTGGGGACTGACTGTCCCAGCAGCAGCTTTTAGCCGATTTCACTCAGAAGTTAAAGTGAATCAGTCTGTAACACAAGCAGAAAAAGCTCAAATGTTAATCTAATAACAAACACTAAAGTATGTGGTTAATAAAGACATTGGAGATCAACTTTTCCCATGTTTCAATGTTTTTTTCTCATAAGGAGAACTATGGATTATGAATTAGAAACAGTTCTTCTTACTGATCCCAACTGACTTCCATGAATAAAAAGTGTTTTTCTTTCCACGTAAAACACAACAAGACACATTTACTTCAGTCAAACCTGCCAGGCATCGTCAATGTTGAGATTGTTCCCGACATGTTCATTCTGAGAAACTTTCTTCAGATAGTTTAGTGTTTTTGACTCAACAACAAACTTTTCCTTACATTTTGATCGTTTCTGTGTTATTGAGCAGTAGATGAAATGTTTTTTTTTTTTTTTTTTTACAGAATCCCCTCCACCCCCATATTCTTTGTCTCATTCAGATGAACATAAGCTACTGGGTGAGTTTTAGCAACACAACAGACCAGGAGATGACACTAGAGTGTGTCGTCACCATCATATTTTTAGACTGGAAGTGTGGATTATCTGTGTAAAGCTCCTGTTGTTGAAAGGGACACCCAGTTATTAGGTGTGAAGATCTGTTTGAGCGAAAATAGTTGTTCAGGAATCCTGTCAGTGTGGCTCCAGGGAGTAAAACAACCAATAAGGTGGATAGATCTGTTGATTATGCTGTTACTGTTTTTCTGGGGTTGCCACGCGTTGAAACCTTCCATATAAAAGACACTTTAAATAAGAACTGATTCGGTCGGACCAGGATCTGACTCTTTTCTTATTTATTTCATTTTTAATTCCCTAAATCCAGACTCAGCCCTGTCTTACACTGAAACTGCGCCCCCTCTTCTCTCCAGTCCGCCTCACGCTATGCCAAGAGACTACACAGGTGAGTCAAGTTTTCAGTATTTCTGCACAACTATGTTTGTTCTTTTCTCTTTTCTTCGACAACGTTAGAGGCTGGAAAAATAAAATGCATTTCTGCACACAAGGCTTCACCCACAAATAAGCTTGAAGGCACAAACGGAAAAAGTTTGCACACACTCATTAATGCAAACACACATAACATGCTTCCTCCTCAGGTGTTTACACAAGAGAGTAAATTATATTTACTGGCGTTATCATGTTGTGCTTTCCTCCTCTATCTTCAAAGGCTGCCAAGCCAACCCAAACCTCCCGAGCATAAAGCTCCCATTGTGAGAGTGGCATTGAGGGCTCGGTGGGGGTCTGGGGGTCTGGCTATCTACATGCCGCAGCAGTGTAGCATTTCTGTCTCTCCTTCGTCTACGCTTTCTTCACAGCAAAATATTTCACCGGGACGGGGCTGCAATAAGATCCCCATGTATACTCCCAATCCCCTTTGCCTCTCTAACCACCCATCCCCCCCTTTTTTCTCTCTTTCTTCCCTCAAATCCCTTCATTCCTCTCTGCAATTGAGCAGTGGAAAGAGGCTGGCACTTTGGGGGCGGGGGGGAGCCATCCTGGCCGCTCTGATGAGGCGGCGGTGTAGAGTTTTGTGTGCATGTGTGTATATGTGGAAAGACAAGGGGGGGCTGAGGGCTGCATTGGGACAGGAAACAGCCCCCTCTAGATGATGAAACTGGAGCTTTATTTGTTTACGTGCTGGGGTCGGGTGGAGAGGTCCATGTAGCGTTAGAAGAAACCCACAAACCCACTCAATCAAGCCTCCCTGGGCTCACTTGCGGATGGTGTTGAAAGGTGAATGGGCACCTAAGTCTGTGCAGCGTAGTCACAGCATCACGGAGCTGTCCGAAGAGTTGGCAAAGTTCTCAGAGGGATACGTTTGGGGTTGGTTGTGTTGCAAAAGTTCATTTAAAACTTTTTAAAAAGTTGACAATTAAAGTTGAAGTTATTTAATTAAGTTGTGCTGGTGCAAAACAACTGGTGATCGGAAAGGGGCAGATATTCATCCGGACTGGCCAACTCAGAAATCAGACTTTCTTCGGAGAGCTACATCACAAGCAGCATGAAAAACATTCCAGTTAGTACCCGGTCTGTGAACTCGCTGTCACACAAACACCAATTAATTTAACAGCAACAGATATTTCATGATGGATTTTTTACCTCGAGAATCCTAACTTTCTAGTTAATCAGAAATTTAACAATATTATGTCTTCTGCTGGTTATAGGTCTCTCAGGAACATTAGATCAGCCAAAATCAGAAATAAGTATCAGCCCTGAGATCCAGAATCTGTGCATCTCTAGTTGTAGATGTGTTTATACTAAAACCTAAATACAGTTCCATAACCTTGTTGTGTTATAGAAATAAACAACAATACAGTTTTACAACTTTTACTTGCACAGTTGAACTCACTTTCCCCTGTTTTCTCTCTTATTGTTCTAAGAAACATAGCTACTTTTCTCAAATACTAATAGTTTATAGCTTACACTGGTTCATGCAAGTTCATTTATTGACAAAACGAGTGTTATTATTGGAAGCCATTTCCCCAAATCCTCCAACGTGTGTTTGGTCAGAGCCAGGAGTTGATCAGAAAACAAGTTTGAGGCTTAGATTCTGAGAAGTTTCCAAGCAGATTAGTTGGAAAGGAGCTGTCTAGTGTTGAAATGAGAGGAAACACATTGGTTTTCGTACAAGAGTGTGTGTGTGTGTGTGTGTGTGTGTGTGTGTGTGTGTGTGTGTGTGTGTGTGTGTGTGTGTGTGTGTGTGTGTGGTCTCTGATCCCCTGCCCCCACACCAGAACCCTGGAGTCGAGTATGGAGCTCAGGCCAAGAGCATAAGTAGAAGCGATACTTAGATAAACAGAGGCAGCCAAAAAATCTGCATGCAGTCTTTTTTTGTTCATTTTGACAACATCTATGAATCCTTTTAGGATCTGGTCAAATAACAAGAAGTAAGCTGAATATGCACCCCACATGAATCAGAGAGCTTATTGTAGCTGGTAAATAAAAAAAATTGTTGATGTGGGACTGATTTTTCAGGAATCTTCATACACCTTTTTGTTTGGTTCAGGTGATCCTTACATGTATCATCTGAATGTGAGCAAAGCAAGCATGCTCGTTACCACTTTAGCATCTTTAGTTCAAAAGCATCTACGTAGCCTAGCCTAGCCAGAAAAAAGAAGTGGTTGCAGGGCGTGGTCCTTACATACCTTTGCCCTGGCCTCCTTATCATTGGCTTGGTTAACGTTCCCTTTAAACCGCAGAAAACAGACCTGCTTTGACATGAAGAAAAAAAACTTCTCCTGAAAGGTTAGTATGTTTATATCTGCATGGATCGTCCCACCGTGACTCCAACAATATGTGTTGTTCAGCGTGCGTGCATGTGTGTGTGTGTGTGTGCACTTGACAAGGGGGCGAGACAGGGAGGAATTTTTGTCTGACTCTCTGATAAGATCGTCTCAGTGTGTGCTCACATAGGGGCTCTATCAGGAAATAATCACGCGCGCACACACACACACACACACACACACACACACACACACACACACACACACACACACACACACACACACACACACACACACACACACACACACACACACACACATTTTCTCATCACGTTTTCTTTCACATTTTCATTGTATGTCTAAATAAGAGCTGACTTTCTCCTGGGTGAAAACTTGTTTCTCAGATGAGACGCTCTGTCTGCACTACTTGTACGAAGTCTCCCCTCTGCTGTGATACGCAAATGACTGAGACCTGGAATGGACATTGTTCATCTCACTATAATGTTTACAAGAAGGCTGACTTCTATATCAATGTGGTGCCAAAGATAAACAAAAAGGTGACGTTTAACGTCACGCAGGGCATTAAAAAAAGTATTTATTAGCTTGTTTGTGACTTTTATTGTTTTTTTTTTCCATTTCACTTCCAAATCATCCCACTGTAGCACTTGTCTTTAGGTTTTATTGCACCTGAGTTTTTCTAAGCACAGATACTTCCTGGAGCTTTGACCCGCCTTGCAGCAGACCACTCACATCTTTTATAAGAGGGGCTCTTTTATAAATGAATATATAAATAATACACCTTGGAGGCAAAGGTGTGCTTCTTGCATGCAACTAGGTTGTTTTCCACTTTTGTTGTGTGATTTGTAGCTAGTGTCACGCAACCTCCCAGCACTGTGTTTTTCTGTTCCTTATCAGCTGGCAGCGTTGTTTCATGGTCTTGTGGATCCAGGACTCATATGAGCAAAGTAAGGCTTGAGGGCCAGAAGTGGTTCTTTGATTATATCTATCCTGTCATGGTCTGCGTCTGTATCTTCCTTCATGTGTCTCCTGATGTTTCTCCATCCCTCTCTAGATTCCCTTCTGTGTCTCATAGCACCCTCATGTGTCTTTTGTCTGCGTCTCAGTTAAAGTGTCTTATTTTGTTACCCTTTTAAGATCATTCCTCCCAGGTCAGCTCCAGCCTCTTTGTCCTCAGCTCAGTGTGTGTGTGTGTGTGTGTGTGTGTGTGTGTGTGTGTGTGTGTGTGTGTGTGTGTGTGTGTGTGTGTGTGTGTGTGTGTGTGTGTGTGTGTGTGTGACCTGCCCCTGTTTGGTGTTTGTGTGTGTGTGTGTGTGTGTGTGTGTGTGTGTACACATGTCCCTTCCCCAGTTCAGTGTATGTAGGTGTGAGTTTATGTGTGTCAGTGTGTGTATGTGTGAGTCCTTCCCTCAGTCTTTAGGTTTAGTTTTTGTGTTTTAGGTTTACCTGTCCTCCTTTGGTCCTGTTTTCCCCATTTATATAAATTATTGTCACCTGTCTTCCATCCAGCCCTCACCCCACACACCTGCTGCTATTTTCCCTAATTACTCCTCCCTGTGTATTTAAGCCCTGTCTTGTCTCTGTCTTGTGTCGGTCCATTGTTTGTAATTCTGTCAGTCTCGTCTTGGATTACTAGTGTTCTTGGTCTTCACGTGTCTTGAGTGTTTTTGGATCTCCAGATTGTTATCTGGACTTTTGGATTTTGGCTTCCAGCCTTTGGACTTATTTTTGTTCTCCTTAAAATAAAGGATTTACTTATTCATCATCTCTGCCTCGTGTCATCCTGGGTACTGCATTTTGGGTCCTACCAACACTGAATCGTGACATAGTCTTTTTGTGAAATGAAAAATAACAACAGACTAAATCAATTTGAAACATTTAGACTTCAAATCTGACCTGAATGATCCGTGACACTTGGTCTCAAATCAGACTCACGGCTGATGTGTTTCAAAGCAACCTCATGTCATATTTCATCTGACTTTTACGTCTTTAAGTGTGTCGTATTCTGTGATGGAGCAGGTTGGTTGTGAGATGATCCCACACGACATATCTTGAGATCTATATTTGCTTCCATAAACAGCAAGATAAGTGGGAATGTTACAATTCCTCATTTAGATTGGTGAGACATCTTTTCACAGTCAGTCATATGTGAGAGGATATAATCCATCTTTAGAAAAACTACAAAGATGGCGTCAGCTCAGGAATGCTGCTAATTTGAAACAGCTTTCGCTTCAACTTTGGATAATTTAGACTTGGGCTTTTCTTTGAGTCAAGAGCACATTTGATGCATCCCCATGGGGAGCGGTGAGCTGCAGCCATGGTCGCACTCAGGAGCTATTTAGTGGTTTACCCTCCCAATGCAACCCCTTAAGCTGAGTGTCAAGCAAGGAGGCATTGGGTCCCCATTTTTAAAGTCTTTGGTATGACCCGACCGGGACTCGAACCCCAATCTCCCTGTCTCAGGGCGGACACTCTACCGTTGGGCCACTGAGATGGCTTTATTAATGAAATGAACTGTATTGGAATGTTTACTTTGTGAAATGCCTTGAGACGACTCTTGTCATGATTTGGCCCTAGTCTTTGGTATGACCAAAACCGGGATTTGAACCCAAATTCCCCATTCCCAACTGGTAGAGGTACTTCAGTCCTTTATTTAAAAGAA